GCTATGACCACTTCTTCCCCATCTCCCACATCCGCCTCTGGGCCCTGCAGCTCATCTTTGTCACTTGCCCTTCCCTCCTGGTCATCATGCACGTGGCCTACCGGGAGGACCGCGAGAAGAAGAACAGGGAGAAGAACGGGGAGAACTGCCCCAAGCTCTACAGCAACACAGGCAAGAAGCACGGCGGGCTGTGGTGGACCTACCTGCTCAGCCTCTTCTTCAAGCTTATCATAGAGATCCTGTTCCTCTACCTCCTCCACAAGATGTGGGACAGCTTTGACTTGCCACGGCTAGTCAAGTGCTCCAACGTGGATCCCTGCCCCAACACTGTGGACTGCTACATCGCTCGGCCAACCGAGAAAAGAGTCTTCACCTATTTCATGGTCGGAGCCTCCTCCATCTGCATCGTCCTCACCGTCTGTGAGATCTTCTACCTCATCTTCAAGCGGGTTGTGCGGCGTGCGCAGAAGTGGAAGAAGTCCACCAAGCGCTCCGTCAGCTACAGCAAGGCCTCCACATGCCGGTGCCACCTCAAGGCAGAAGAGAAGGACAACAAGTCCCAGACCAGGTGTGTAGCAGCCCTGCGGGCCTCGGCTCCCAACCTGACTGCTGTCTGATGGGGTGCTGGGAGGGGAAGAGGGAAGGAGATATGTCTGGGGATGGGTGGCCCCAGAGGTGGCCCCCGGTGATGCCACCACCAGACTCTTCAACCAGGATTTCGATGGCTCTAAAGCGGAAGAGGACACATCCACAGGAACTCTCCTGCTTGGAGCCATGGGCATGTCCCTGGGTGTCCCAGTGGAGTGGGACGGGTGGGTGCCAGCTGCCTGTGGGCATGCCTGAGGGTGTCCGTTCTTTCCACAGAGGAGAGGAGCTGTGAGCTCACCCATCCCAGCCAGTTCACCTTCCCCCTGGCACAGCAGCTTCTCGAGCCTGCTGAGTCCCCGAACCCTCGAGAGTTGACCCGTGTGAAAAACTACTAAACCCAACAAACCAAAGTCCCCAAGAGCAGCCCGCGGGTGCCCGAGCAGACGCAGGTAAGGCGAGGGCAGCCCCGGAGCTCTGCCAGCTGTACGCGGTGGTGCCACGGGACTCGGGCATCACACCGACGCACAGACGCCGTGCACGACTCTGCCGAGCAGCCGGACCCTCCGTGGCAGCCAGCGCTGTCCGGCCCGGCCGAAACCTGCAGTGGTGAAGCCGTTGAGCCTGGAGGGCACACGGGCAGGGCTGGCAGGAGGGAGTGTGGGGTCTCCCATGTCCCAGCAGCTTCTCTTGGGTCCTCCAGCTCTGTTGCTCCCACGCTGGGTACGAATGCATCGATCGGTGCCCAGTCAGGGCTGGTGTCACCCAGCGTGGTGACAGTCCCCAGTTTGCCAATACTGGGGCAGGAGCTGCTTCTTCCCCTTTGCTCACACAAGCACCGTGCCGATGCCCTGCCCACGTGCCCTTGCTGACTCTGCTGCTCCCCTCAGAGCCTTCATCCCCCCTTCCCTCAGACGGACACGCCACGTACAGCATCAGTGAGGGATCCAAAAAGCCAATAAACGTCCTGTTGTTTGTAGACACTGAGGTCTGCTCTGCATACTGTAAACTGGGGGGACTGGAGAGGGCAGAAAAAATGAATTTGCCGAGGTTCCCCAGGAGCCCGTGGCCTGCCCAAGCTGGGGTGCCAAGGGTTGAGGCTCAGGGCCGGTGTGCCAAGGGTTGAGGCTCAGGGCCGCTGTGCCCAGTGTCCGCCCGCTCCACCTCCTCCCAGCTTGTCACACATCATTAAACTTCAATTCACCAGAACCGCACGCTGGTCCCCAAGGAAATCAAGGAGGGATCAGCATCAATTATTTACTAAACCTTGATAAATATTACAATAAATAGAAATGATTTCCATTTAATCTCTCCTTAAGCAGCGCTACATGGAGGGTCTGCTGGTGCTCTGACCAGCCGTGTTTCCAGCCCTGCTCAGCCCACGTGAGCGTGTCACGGTGTGCGCTGACACAGCCAGGGCTCGTGCCGCTGCGAGAGGCCGTGACAGCGAGGGTAATGTGTGACGTGTCTCTGTGCCAGACACGGAGCAAGTGCTTCCAGGGTGGGCTACTCCTGCGGGCACTCCAGCACAGAATCCCTTGTGTCACCTGGGAGATGCTCCAGGAGCTCAGACAGCACAGGGTGTCTGACCGGGAAGCAGCTCTGGCTCTGCTTTTGGACACCCACTTGCCTCACTGGGGACCTATGGCTATGTGGGTGACCCATGCTGGGCACCATCCTCCTGGTGGGTAGAGCAATATGGGAGCTGGCACATCCATGGGTGAGGGCAGCTCCAACTCCTCACAGCTGATCTTTTCCACCCGTCGAAGGCTGGCGAGGTGCAGAGCATCACTAGGGAACGGGGCCAAGGGGGGGCCTCACCGTAAAAGCAGATGTAACCCCGGAGTGGTGGGAGGGGGGAAGCAGTACTCACGGTTTGGGCTGGCTGGGAGATGGATGCTGGGCACCGCAGCACCCTGGTGCCACAGCATGGGGTAGCACATGGGTGTCACCTGAAGCACAGCAATTATTTTATATTAAACATAATGATGCTGTTCCAGCCCTGCCCTCCGCTCAGCGGCACTGTCTGTGAGGAGGAAATGCCACGTCTCCGTGGGCAGAGGCGGCAGCTCCCAGTTGTGTGCTGACTGGCCTAGTTTCTGGTGTCAATAGCCCCAGCCCTAACCCCATGCCCCTGATAGCCCCATGCAGCCCATGCCAAGCGTGCCAGCTTTCTG